AAACATGACGACTGAGTCTTTAAGCACGAGTTCCATCCAACTGAGTACCACCAGCAGTGCTCCATCTTTCAGATGGCAGTCAGTATATATGGCTTATGGGGTTATCATGTTTTTCGTTTTGATCATCGGTTTTTTCGGCAACGTGTTCACCATTCTTGTCCTTCGACAACGCGAGCACCGCATGAAGAGTATCACGCCACTTATGGTGAATTTAGCCCTCGCAGATCTGTTCATTATCGTGTTTGGCTACCCAGCGATCATCGTAAGCAACCTAAATGGTGATTTGTTATTCCCCGAGAGCCCATTGTGTGTTTGGTCTGGTTTTGCTAACGGTTTCTCGGGTATGACCTGCATCGCCACCTTAACGGTTATGAGTGGAATGGTGTACCAAACTGTCAAACGCAACTTCCCACCAGCACACAATGTTGTCCCAAAGAGACAGGTCACTCTTCTCATTGCCTCCACTTGGTTTTATGGATTCATTGTCATGCTCCCGCCTTTGGTTGGATGGAACCGGTTTGTACCTGGTCAAGCCGGTTTTAGTTGCGCACCCGAGTGGACAGCACCAAACGTCGCCAGTAAAGTATACATCTCGGTGTTGATAGTCGTAGGCTTCCTTACCCCGCTGGTGGTTATTGCTGTGTATTATACCTTGACTTTCAGGTAGGTATGAAACCCGGGTTCTGTACTTCCATAAATTTTGGATAGGTGTGTTCCGCCCGGCGCTTAAAACCCTGTCCCTATTTAAGGATAAGATGAAAGAAAGTTGATACCCGAAAATTACCCCCTATTCAAGGGAAACCAAAAACCAATAATTCAAAGGCGACACAAATCGCTTTCCTAACGCGCCAAGGGACAGATTAGTTTTAACAGATAGTTTGTTTGAATTTCACTTGAATTTCAGCTGAAACAATTTAGGTGCCCTTTCTAAGGACCACACCGGGAACACGGAGGCAACAAGGGAAAAAATGATACCGTAATTATGGATCGAGACCCTCAAAAACCATACCCTACTAACCGTCACATACCTTTCTAGCCATTATAAGTGATTATCCCTCGGGGAAAAAAAATAGCAGGGAGCTTAAGCTAAGGAGTTTTTGTCAACTGGAAGTGGACTTTTTACGTTCTTGGGCAGTGGTTTTGGCAAATCTTCGGGCAAATGGTCTCCATGAGAGTTCGCACCTCGTGTATTTCATTCAGTCTCAGTCAGAACTCTCACAGAACGAGAAAAACAAACGCAGGCGATAAGGGATGCGCAGCAGCTTGCGCAGAATGTTTTTCCGCCCTGAAAGACCAACATTGACGTCACGTAGTCTCCACTCTATCACGCGACCAAAAAATCTTTACCCAAATCTCACTGAGGATGTTTCTTTTTAGTGTTTGGTGAAGGTAAAGCGACAAAAAAAAAATGTCAATTTTTTGGTTCATTTGACCTTTAAGTCACTAGAAGGTTCAGAACTAAGGGTCTCTCGTCAGCGTGTTGGTCGTCCAGGAATCGAACCCAGATTAAATGAATCACCCGGTCGAATTTGGGCACCCAACCAAAAGCTCTACCCACTCCCACTACTAGATGTTATATTGCTTTGTTTTCTTTTGTTGGATACTTTTTGGGGGCTTTCCGTGTGACACAGAATTTTGCTTAAATGGCTTAATTTTAATAGTAAGGCTCTTAAGAGAAATGGATTTCTCCTTCCTCTACACCGTGTATACAACCTGACTTCATTATGTCTTTTAGGCAAGAGATGATAAGAGTAAGGAGAGTAAATCCCCATGTTAGCCCCTTTCCAAAGATTATCCCTCGTAAGCTATTTTTAGTCACTACCATTACATATCTTTTGAACCATAACCCTAACCAATAATCATGAACAGAGTAAAAATAGTCTAGTTTTCTAAATATTGTGTTTTTAGTTTTTCGATTCTTGAAGTTTTGGAGTGAAAAATTTTGGTTTTATTATTATAACAAGGGTAATTTAAAACTAAAAGAAAACAATAAAAAAGGGGATATTGGACGTTTCAAATTTGGGATTTCCCGCCTTGCGGTTACTAAAAATAAGTTGAGTGGTCGATCATTTTCTCCCTTACCCTTAATCCTCTCTTGGTTTCTCCTCTTCCGGCGAATTAAACCTGACATATTTTTGTTCTTTCTTTTTTAATCCCTAACAGAACACTCAAACGCAGACCAATGACCGGAAATGCTTTCCTTCAAGCTCAACGCCGGAAATACCAGAACAAATCCATTCTGATGACAGCGGTCACGATCGGTGCCTTCCTGCTAA